TTTTTAGTAGAGATGGGGTTTCAGCATATTGGTCAGGATGGTCTCTATCTCCTGGCCTCATGATCTGCCTGCCTCAATACAGATACTTACACATCTGGCCAGGCAATGTGGCTCATGTCTGTAAATCCCAGCATTCTGGGAGGCTGGGATTTACAGGCATGAGCCACATTGCCCAACCAGATATGTAAGTATCTTAAGTTATTTCCTATCTCTGTCCATTTAAAAGGCCTAAGTATATGGGCGGCTGTGGTGGCTTCTTAGACAAATAACTGATTGCTAAGCTAGTGACAGAGATAAAAAGTGAGCCTGAAATTTCTTGATATACCAGATGGCAAGAATGCAGTCAAAGAATACCAGGGTGGCATCAAAATAACTCAGTTGAGGATTCACACTTTCTCATTTCCAAAATTAGTATAAAGCAACAGCAATCAAACAGTGTAGTAATGCTAAGCACAGACATACACCCTAATGGAATAGGACAGACAGCCTAGAAATAAACCCTCACGTATATGGTCAAATGATTTTCAACAAGGTTGTCAAGATTATTCAATGGAGAAAGGACAGTCTTTTCAACAAATGATGCTGGGAAAACTGGATATCCACATGCAAAAGAATGAAGTTGGAACAAATGTGGTGTTGTGGCCTTACAGTCCCTGCTACTTGGGAGGCTAAGGTGGGGGCATTGCTTGAGCCCAGGAGTTCAAGTCCAGCCTGGGCAATGTAACAAAACCTTGTCTCTTAAAAAAGAAAAAAGTTAGACTCTGACATAGTGTGGATGTTGTGCCCTCTAAATCTTATGCTGAATTATAATTCTCAACGGTGAAGGTAGGGCCTAGTAGGAGGTGACTGGATCATGGGGACACCTAAAGGCTTGGTGCTCTCCTAATGACAGTAAGTTCCCTTGAATTTAAAAAAAAAAAAAAAAATTTTATTCCCTTGAATAAAAAAATTTTTTTTAATCTAGGTTTTTTTTATTTTTGTTTGTTTTGAGATGAAGTTATGCTCTTGTTGCCCAGGCTGGAGTACAATGGCAAGATCTCTGCTCACCACAACCTCCGCCTCCCAGGTTCAAGCAATGCTCCTGCCTCAGCTTCCAGAGTAGCTGGGATTACAGGCATGCATCACCACGCCCAGCTAATTTTGTATTTTTAGTAGAGATGAGGTTTCTCCACGTCGGTTGGGCTGGTCTCGAACTCCCGACCTCAGGTGATGCACCCACCTCATCCTCCCAAAGTGCTGGGGTTACAAGCATGAGCCATCACACCCAGCGACATCTACTTGTTAGAAGTGTGTGGCACTCCCGGCTTCCTCTCTTGCTCCCACATTCGCCATGTGAAATGCCTGCTCCCATTTCACCTTCCACCATTATTATAAGCTTCCTGGGGCCTCACCAGAAGCCAAGAATCATGAGCCAATTAAATCCCTTTTCATTATAAACTGTCTAGCTTCATGTGTTTCTTTTTTCCTTTTTTTCTGTGTTTTTTTTTTTTGACATGGAGTTTCGCTCTTGTTGCGGAGGCTAGAATGCAAGGGCGTGATCTCAGCTACTGCAACCTCTCTCCCAAGTTCAAGCAATTCTGCCTCAGCCTCCTAAGTAGCTGGGATTACAGGTATGTGCCACCACGCCTGGGTAATTTTGTATTTTTAGCAGAGACAGGGTTTCTCCATGTTGGTCAGGCTGGTCTCAAACTCCTGACCTCGGCTGATTCGCCTGCCTCGGCCTCCCAAAGTGCTGGGATTACAGGTGTGAGCTACTGTGCCGGCCCAGGTATTTCTTTATAGTAAGCCAAGAATGGACTAACAAAGACCATTACCTTACACCATATACAAAAATTAATTCAAAATGAATTAAAGTCTAAAGCTTAAAAGCTAAAATTAAAACTATAAAACTCATAGAAAACATAGGGAAATCACTTCTCAGCCTTTTGGCTAAAATAAAGAATAAAAATCATACAAGAAAGCTGGGCACAATGGCTCACGCCTTTAAGCCCAGCACTCTGGGAGGCCAAGGCAGGTGGATCACGAGGTCGGGAGCTCAAGACCTGCCTGGCCAATATAGTGAAACCCCATTTCTACTAAAAATACAAAAATTAGCTGGGCATGGTGGCCTGTGCCTGTAATCACAGCTACAGGCAGACGAATTGCTTGAACCCAGGAGGTGACGGTTGTGGTGAACCAAGATGGCGCCACTGCACTCCAGCCTGGGCAACAGAGGGTGACTCCGTCTCAAAAAAAAATCATACAGGGAATCATCACAACATTGGACACTTTCATAGCTATCACACCAAAAATACAAGGAACAAAAGGAAAAATAGGAAAATTGACTTAAAATTTAATACTTTAGAGTACTGATGGACACTATCAAAGTTAAGACGCAACTCAAGTAATGGGAACAAATATTTACAAATCACATATCTGATAAGGAGTATCCAGAATATATGAAAAACTATACCTCAAAACAAAAAACAAAAAACCCAATTCAAAAATGGACAAAAAACTTGAAAAGACATTTGTCCAAAGAAGACATACAGATGGCCACTAAGCATATGAAAAGACACTCCACATCGGTAGTCACTAGGAAAACGTAAATCAAAGCCACAATGAAATATCAGCTCCTACCCATTAGGAAGGCCTCTTTTTACAAATCGGAAAGTAACAAGTGCTGGAAAGGATGTGGAGCAGTAAGAACCATCACACTTTACTGGTAGGAATGGAAATGGTACAGCAACTATGAAAAAATCTGTTGGTTCCTCAAAATGTTAAACAGAATTACCATGTGATCCAAGAATTACACTTCTATGTGCATACCCAAACGAACTGAAAGCAGGGACTCAGCCAGATACTTGCATCCCAATATTCCACAGCAGCATTATTCACAATAGCCAAAAGGTGGAAACAACCCAAACGTCTCTTAGGGGACGAATAAACAAAACATGGTATATACATACAATGAAATATTACTCAGCCATTAAAAGGAGTGAAATTTTGATACATGCCATACATGGATTAGTCTTGAAGACATTATAGTATGTGAAATAAGCTAAACGCAAAGAAAAACATTAAGATTTCACTTATGAGGTACCAAGAATGGTGCCTAAACTCACAGAATTACAAAGTAGAATGGTGGTTGCCAGGGGCTGGGGAATAGTTGGGGACGAGAGGGGAAATAAGGAGTTATAATATTATGTGACAGAGTTTCAGTTTTCTAAGATGAAAAAAGTTCTAAAGATGGAGGGTGGTGATGATTGCACAACAATATGAATGCACATAATACCTGTAAACCATACACTTAAAAATTGTTAAAACGGGCCAGGCACAGTGGCTATGCCTGTAACGTCAGCATTTTGAGAGGCCAAGGTAGGTGGATCATCTGAGGTCGGGGGTGGCTCATGCCGGTAACCCCAGCACTTTAAGAGGGCAAGGCGGGTGGACCACCTGAGGTCGGGAGTTTGAGACCTGCCTGACCAACATGGAAAAACCCCGTCTCTACTAAAAATAAAAAATTTTCCAGGTGTGGTGGCACATGCCTGCAATCCCAGGTACTCAGGAGACTGAGGCAGAAGAATCACTTGAACCTGGGAGGCGGAGGCTGCAGTGAGCCGAGATTGCGCCATTGAACTCCAGCCTGGGCAATAAGAGTGAAACTCCATCTCAAAAAAAAGAAAAAAATTTCTTGCCTGCTTTTAGACTTACAGCAGGCTGTGATTAGATGCTGGCTCACTAGTTTAACAAGATTACATCTCCTAGGCTGTATTGCATAAAGCCTTGCCATCTCTTTTCTATATAGATATTCCTTTTCTTATATATTTTTAATCTATGGGTTAAAGACTTAACATTGATTTTGCTTATTATTTAAAAGAAGTAAAACAAAATAAATCCCGGAAAATTTCAGGCAAAAAAAGTGATGGCTCTGTAATTCAATTCTAGGACAACTGCAATCTATCCATTCATCACAACATATGCTCTAAAATGCTATTCTTTAGAGCACTGGACCCACCTGCTGGAAGGCTTGGATCGTAGCTGAGTAGGAACGAAGAGACAGGCAAAATTTCAACAAATTCTGCTGGAGAGGTGACAGAAACTGAAATGCGGCTTCCAATATTGCATGATAATAGGAATAATCAGTACCTGTCAAGGAAAAACATTAACCAAAGTAATTGCATGTGACTAGAGAAATCTGAAAAAGACAGTGTTACAAAAGCATAAAGCTGTGTTACAAAGGTATGTGATGAAAGTTTTATGAGTATATTGTCTTGAACTATCAACAAATGCTTAAAATTCCCTGGAGGACACAATGCAGCTGGGCTCTTCCTCTCCTCTTCTTCCCAACTATTCCCGCCCGTGGACCACTATTTTCCCACTTACCTGGACGACTTACTGGTATGTACGTCTTCAGAAAGAATTTAGCTGTAAAATCACCTACTCCAGGAAATCTCCACAATCCCTACCCCATGCTTCAATGGACCAGTTAAATCTCTTCATTGATCCCAGAACACTTCTCTGTTTATCTCTTCCACTTATCATATCATTTACTAAATTATTTACTGACTGTCTGTCTATACCCCAACTAGATTTTTGGTCCCCAGAGGCAGAGACTATGAGCTATTTATCCTTATATCCCTGATGCCTAGCACACGGTATCTACTCCAAAAACTAAACAAAACTGAGTAGTGTGATGATGAAGTTACACACTATTAAAGAATACTAATGAAATTGTAAAGTTTAAAAAGAAGCATTTAAACAAAAAGTTGGACCAAATTATTTTGAAGAAAAAAAAAATCCATTTTTTCACTAACGTGAAAAAATCTCCAGCATAAATGAAAAGCAAAGGCACGAAACAATGTACAAAGTAACTTATTTTTTTTAACCAGGAGAAAGAATGAGAAATAAGAGTATATATGTATATATTTGCCATTAAAAACACTGATGGCTAAATAAACTAATTAAAAATGTTATAAAAAGCAGGAAAAACACAGAAGAAACACGGTCAAGAAGGAAACAAGATTTTTCTGGGTATAAAAATATATCTTTCACACAGCTTTGACTTTGGAATCACACATTATCCATGCAAAAAACGTAAATTTTCCATTTTAAAAGATAAGCACAGTGATTCATGTTTGTAATCCCAGCACTTTAGGAGGCCGAGGCGGGAGGATTTCCAGAGCCCAGGAGCTCAAGATATCAGCCTTGTCAAAATAGTGAGTCTCCTTTTAAAAAAATAATAATAGGCTGGCACGGTGGTTCACACCTGTAATCCCAACACTTTGGATGGCCAAGGTAGGTAGATTACCTGAGGTCGGGAGTTCAAGACCAGCCTGACCAACATGGAGAAACCCTGCCTCTACTAAATATACAAAATTAGCCGGGCATGGTGGTGCATGCCTGTAATACCAGCTACTTGGCAGGCTAAGGCAGGAGAATCACTTCAACACAGGAGGCAGAGGTTGCAGTGGGCTGAGATCATGCCATTGCACTCCAGCCTGGGCAAGAATAGCAAAACTCTGTCTCAAAAAAATAAATAAATAATTTTACAAAGTAAAATAAAATAAAAATAGGCTGAGCGTGGTGGCTCACACCTATAATCCTAGCACTTTGGGAGGCCAAGGCAGGCGGATCACCTGAGGTCAGGAGTTCAAGATCAACCTGGCCAATATGGTGAAACCCCATCTCTACTAAAAATACAAAAATTAGACAGGCGTGGTGGCATGCACCTGTAATCCCAGCTGAGGCAGGAAAATCACTTAAACCCAGGAGGCAGAGTTTACAGTGAGCTGAGATCACACCCCTGCACTCTAGCTTGAGCAACAGAGGAGACGCCATCTCAAAAAACAAACAAATAAATAAATAAATAAAATTTTTCATCTAAAAAATATAAGTATTTTATGAGGTAGACTACAAAAGGTTCTATACTGCAATAGCATCTTTTATGTAAAAACTGGATTTAAAAAATCTCAAAATGAGGCCAGAATGTTAATGGTGTCAATCTTTTGGTGGTAGGAATATAAATATTTCAAACAAAATGTTTAACATACTTTCATGTTGTTCATGGAATTTATACTCCTATAACTTTAACGAATATGTATTATCATTTATACTGAAGAAATTTCATTTTAAATGTCAAAGTTCAAATTTGATTATAAACCTACTTAGATAAATCTGTTCTATGAAATCTTAAAAATAAAAGAATTTTTTTATAACTATAGTTGCCCCTAAATTAGAAAAACTTGCAGATGCTTGTTTAAAATCTTTACATATCTACATTGTAAAAAAAAAAAAAAAAAAAAAAAGATTCAGGCTGGCATGGTGGCCCATACCTGTAATCCCATCACTTTAGGAGGCCAAGGCAGGAGGCAAGGCAGGAGTTTGAGACCAGCCTGTGCAACACAGCAAGACCCATTGTTACAAAATTTAAAAATTAGCCGGTGGCTCATGCCTGTAATCCCAGCACTTTGGGAGGCCAAGGCAGGCGGATCACGAGGTCAAGAGATTGAGACCATCCTGGCCAACATGGTGAAACCCTATCTCTATTAAAAATACAAAAAATAGCCAGGCATGGTGGCACGTGCCTGTGGTCCCAGCTACTCGGGAGGCTGAGGCGGAAGAATCACTTGAACCTAGGAGGCGGAGGTTGCAGTGAGCTGAGATTGCGCCACTGCACTCCAGCCTGGTGACAGAGCAAGACTCTGTCTCAAAATAAAAAAAAAAAAATTAGTCATGCCTGGTTACACGCACCCATGATACCAGCTACTGAGGAAGATGAAACAGAAAGACTGCTTTAACTCAGGAGTTCAAGATTATAGTGAGCTATGATCATACCACTGCACTCCAGCCTCCAGAGCAAGACTTTTGTCTCTAAAACCAAAACTAGGCTGGGCTCGGTAATCCTAGCACTTTGGGAGGCCAAGGCAGTCGGATCACCTGAGGTCAGGAGTTTGAGACCAGCGTGGCCAGCATGGTAAAACCCCATCTCTACTAAAACTACAAAAATTAGCCAGGTGCGATGGTGGGCACCTGTAATCCCAGCTACTCGGGAGACTGAGGCATGAGAATTGCTTGAGCCCAGGCAGCCGAGGTTGCAGTGAGCTGAGTGAGATAGCGCCACTGCATTCCAGCCTACGTGACAGAGTGAGACTCTGTGTCGAAAAAATACATAAAATAAAAAATACAATCTAGCTGGGTGCAGTCATTCACACCTATGACCCCAGCACTTTGGAAGGCCAAGGCAGGTGGATCACTTGAGTTTTTTTTTGTAGAGACCCTCTTTTTGTACAGACTCTGTCTCTACAAATAAAAAAATGTTTTTAATTAGCCCAAATAAAAAATAAGTATAAATAAAATAAAATAAAAACAATCTTTGGCTAGATTACAGAGTGAAAAAAGCAAAATAAAATAAAACAAAACAAAAAGATTCAGCCAACTTTAAAAGTATGTATTATTTTAATAAAAATTAAAAAAAATCAATGCAGGCAATGTACAGTGGTTCATGCCTATAATCCCAGCACTTTAGGAGGCCAAAGTGGAAGCATCACTTGGGCCCAGAAGTTTGAGATCAGCCTGGGCAACACAGCAAGACTCCCTTGTATTAAAAAAGAAAAAAAAAAGTAAATAATTTTAAAAGAAGAAAAAAAAAAATCAACCCATTAACATCAACAGCAGTCACACAATTTTGAAACATTTCCTCTTCTATAAGAACATATATCTGACCAGGGACAGTGGCTCATGCCTGTAATCCCAGCACTTTGGGAGGCTGAGGCAGGCGGATCAACTGAGGTCAGGAGTTTGAGACCAGCCTGGCTAACATGGTAAAACCCTATTTCTACTAAAAATACAAAAAATTAACTGGGCATGGTGGCGGGTGCCTGTAATCCCAGCTACGCAGGAGGCTGAGGCAGGAGAATCACTTGAACCAGGGAGGCGGAGGTTGCAGTTAGCCGAGATCACATCACCACACTCCAGCCTGGGCGACAGGGCAAGACTCTGCCTCAAAAAAAATAAATTAGCCGGGCAAGGTGGCAAGTGCTTGTAGTCCCAGCTACTCAGAAGTCGGAGCCAGGAGAAAGAAGCTGCAGTGAGCCCAGATTGCACCACTGCACTCCAGCCTAGGCAACAAAGACTTCTTCTCAAAAAATAAAAATTAAAAAAAAAAAAAAGAAAGAATCTATATCTGTCAATGTAAATTAATATTCAAGGTTCTAACTACTCACATATCAGCATATCCAACTATTAATGTTCACACTCTATATAGCTTATATCAAGTTTAAAAAATGTGAAAGCACATCATAAAAACTGCAAATGAGGTTTTACAGGATAATCATTAATTTGATACCTTACTCAAGCTGTGGGTGGCTGGCAGGCATAATGGAAAACATTCTGGATGATACTAACTTAATGATAATGAACTTAACAGACAATAGCTCAGTTTTGTAATTAGTTCATAACAACAAAAACCAGTGAATCAGATTAGATGGTTATTAATACCAAATGATTTGAAATGAAATGTACTTGCACAAAATATTCACATAGCACTTTAATAAAGGATTATGACAGAACAAAAACAAAAGGGCAAAAAACAAAGGCACCATTATAGCCAAAGTTATAAACTGCTTCAAAAATATTTGTGTTGTGTTGGCTCTTCCTGAGAGCCATCATAACTCCAGTCATTAAAGACAACAGTGTTTTCCATTAACTGCCATGCCACACATAATATCAAGAGACCGTTTTTTCCTAATATTTTCCCAGACACCAAAGTCAAAGATGCATTTGCTTCAATTTTACCGTGATGATCTGATGATCCAACATTTTGACTGGCTTCTACAAAATTCCAAAATTTCTCTTGACTGTCTTCTGCTAAAAACTCACTGGGAGAAAAGGGGGAAATATCAGAAATAAAACAATAAAATTTTCTAATACAAACTGTATTATTAAAAAGAGTAAAAATAAGTTTTGAAGTTTCTAAATGTCTGCAGTATGAGTTTTAATCTATAATATATATTATACTCCTTTATGTATAATATATATATTTTTAATGATAAGCAAGTCCTACCAGCTTATTAGTTATTAACAGCTTATGAACTTTTTCACTTATTAGCTATTTCTTAAGAAACCTGGAATAATAAAAACATAACAGGAAAGTCCCAATATAAGAAAGCTTATAAAACCCCACTGGCAAAAATACTATGAGTAGTGAAAGCAGAATTAGGAACTGATAATTCTAGTGCTAGTTTTGCTTACTTATTTTCTGAAAGGCCTTACAAAGAACAAAAAAATATTTTGCCTAAAGTTCTCCCACAGTAAACTACGAACCCTAGAAAAATTTCTGGGAGACTAAAGGCAGCATGTTGTAATCTTTTAACACCCATAAAGCCAAATTTTCAAGACCACCAAATTTAGTTTAAAATTACCACTGATCTAACAAAATCAGATCCAAGAATTTAAAGCCATCTCAATTTTTTTTTGACTTTACACTACTAAAATGATGGCCAATATAAATTTCCCTTCATTCAGGAGTCTAAAACCCCTAAAAGGAAATGCATGTAGTAATTGAATGATTCATGTCAATTGGTTATCCTCTCCTCTAAGCCATAATACTAATGCAGTGGTGATCTTTCACTGTCTTAAAGCAAACTACAGATCTGGATCTCAGCTTACCTAGCCAAAGGAAGACTTTCCCATTACTTGTCAACACTGGGGTGTACAATCTCACTCTACTCCACAGCTAGACACAGAAATATGGGAAAAATAAGAAACATTTCCTGGTAATGCACAGCTTCTCTAAAAATAGGTTTCTGAAAATACCCATTATCATAATATATTAAATTTCTTAATGCCTCCTTGAGAGTACTATTTTCTAGGCTTTCTAGTAACTGACAGACACCACACCAAGCCTAGCATAACTTATAGTCTAAGAAAACAGGTACTAAGACAGATACACTAGGATATGCAAATAAACACTAAATTAATTAATTAAAGGCACATTCACAAGATAAGCCAGCAGAGAGGGTCAGGGTGACACACTCATCAGTATGGTGAGAAACAGGATTCACTGGAGCTAAGACTCTCCCAGTAAAGGCCACACAGAAATAAATATATGCCTTTCATACAATTACAGGGAAACTTCTTGAAACATGCTTTCTTTTTCACCCCACTGCGTACATTAAGTCTCACAAGGTGTAAACTTGGAACAGTCCTAATATTACTTACTAGATCCACTGAAACAACCCAGGGGAGAAGAAGAACAAGATATCATTAAATAAATGCTGCTGTTTTTTTATAGTATATTTTTGTTGCTTTTTGTTTTTTTAGCTTCTCATATAATACTTATTCCACTGAGTATAAATTATGATTTTACAGGCCAGGCGTAGTGGCTAACACCTATAATCTCAGCACTTTGGGAGGCCAAGGCGGATACAGCACCTGAGGTCAGGACTTCAAGACCACCCTGGCCAACACGGTGAAACCCCTTCTCTACTAAAACTACAAAATTAGCCAGACATGGTGGCGCATGCCTGTAATCCCAGCTACTTGGAGGCTGAGGCAGGAGAATCGCTTGAACTTAGGAGGTGGACGTTGCAGTGAGCCATGATCACGCCACTGCACTCCAGCCTGGGCAATAAGAGTGAAACAATGACTCAAAAAATAAAATTATGATTTTACAAATTATATGATGTCTAGGATTTGCTTTAAAATATTCCAGTGCAGGAGGAGAGAAGGTGGTGGTGATGTGGTTACTGGACTTATATTGATAATTGATAAAACAGAATGCTGGGTACAGAGAGAGTATATTATACCATTCTCTCCATATATAAATGTTTTGAAATGCCATAATCTAGGACAAGTTTTTAATCTACAACACAAAAAACTACAAACAACCGGAATGAATGCCCGCAAGATAATACAAATCAGGTGGCAACTTGTTCTCTTAGATTTCCGAGCTACGGTGGGAGATCAGCATTGGCCTTCCTTCTATGCAGAACCAGAAGGAGAGAAGAAACTAATATTTAAGGAGGGTCTGTGGTGTGATAGTCACTATGCTTGGCATATTCACCCAAGTCCTCAAATCCACACAGCCACCCTTAGATATAACCATTTTTCAAATAAAGAAGCTGCAATTCAGAGATGCTACAACTTGCTTAGGGACATAGAGTTAGTCAATGGAAAAGCTGGAATATAAACTCATGTCTATTTAATTTATACCTCTTTCATGCTACATTCTTGGGTCATTTCAAAATTTAGCACTCAATAAATGATTATTGGCTTTGATTTTAATAATAACTCTTTGTGGAATATTTCTGTAACTACAGCTGCAGAAAACATATTTAGTGTTTTACTTCAAGGTGCGTATAACTTCATGGACAACCACAAAGCTACAACTCTGTCACAAACATCAGATCCAATCTAAAAATATACAACAGGAATATTTTTAGTCCCTAAGGGCTAGACGCAAGGAAGGCAAAAGATCTGTGGCGGCTGCATGCCATAAAGTGTAGTACAAGATTCTGATCCTTCATCTTTAATCAAATGAACAGGCTGCCTCAATCTATCATCAGGGTCTCCCATAGAAATAAGAAGGAAGGATGGTGGGCTCAGCTAGCTCTGGAGGCAAACACTACATGGATTCAAATAAGCATAGCTCATTTCTATCTGTTGCCTACATGTCTTATTACCTTGGCAAACTGTATACAAATAGCTACAGGAAAAAGAGGCCTAAAAATAGTAAACCAAAATGGCAAATGTAGCTCTTACCTCACATGCCAAGGAAAAAAATTAATAAAAATAAGCATAAAAGGCCGGGCGCAGTGGCTCATAATCCCAGCACTGTAATCCCAGCACTTTGGGAGGCCAAGGCGGGCAGATCACTTGAGGTCAGGAGTTCAAGACCACCCTGGGCAACATGGTGAAACCCCAACTCTACTAAAAAGACAAAAATTAGCCAGGCCTGCACCAGCTACTCAGGAGGCTAAGGCAGGAGAATGAGAATGAGCTTGAACCCAAGTGGCAGAGGTTGCAGTGAGCCAAGACGGCACCACTGCATTCCACCCCAGGTGACAAAATGAGACTCTGTCTCAAAAACAGGGGGTGGGGGAGGAGATAGTAAATCTCAGTGACAGATTTATACCAAACAAATCATCCATAATAAGATCAGCAAAAAGGAAAAGAAAAACTTTAGTGTTTTTTTTTTTTTTT